AGGGAGGTGATGCTGCCATGGTGGACCCGGTGGTGTACTCCGGTACACCAGGGCTTCGGTGCAAGTCTGCTTCCCGCTGCCATGACTGCCCGTCGACCAACCTGGCGAACCTGTCATGCCTCCTGTGCATCACTCTGTGTGACGCGGCCTGCAGGAGGAGGATGCCCGTGGCGGTGAGGCGGCTGCTGTGCCATCCCCGTCGGCTGCAGGACGAGCTGCCATGCCCAGCCCACGGTTTCCGTGCATGGTAAGACAGCAGGTGGGGGAGCCTGAGGGGCGGGGTCGGTCTACATAATTGAGGGTACACCGGTGTAACACAGAGCATGCAACGGGTGCACCAAATGACACTCCATAGGAGCAGCACGATGGGGTGGAGTGTGTCGGCTGGGATGCACTTGCTTGCTGCGTTCTCTGTGGTGTACTCCGGTACACCAGGGCTTCGGTGCAAGTCTGCTTCCCGCTGCCATGACTGCCCGTCGACCAACCTGGCGAACCTGTCATGCCTCCTGTGCATCACTCTGTGTGACGCGGCCTGCAGGAGGAGGACGCCCGTGGCGGTGAGGCGGCTGCTGTGCCATCCCCGTCGGCTGCAGGACGAGCTGCCATGCCCAGCCCACGGTTTCCATGCACGGTAAGACAGCAGGTGGGGGAGCCTGAGGGGCGGGGTCGGTCTACATAATTGAGGGTACACCGGTGTAACACAGAGCATGCAACGGGTGCACCAAATGACACTCCATAGGAGCAGCACGACAGGGTGGAGTGTGTCGGCTGGGATGCACTTGCTTGCTGTGTTCTCTGTGGTGCGTGCTCTGATTGACGGATCCTGCTTCCTGATTTGAGCCCAGAGCACCGACAATACCGCACCTCACTGTCTGCTCTTGCTAATGCGTACCTGAACATTTGCCGCGCCTACTGCAATTGGTGCATGTGTATGAGTAGCCAGTTGGCCCATGCCTGCTCACCTACAGCTGCCCACCCTGCCCCACGCCGCCCCCCCCTCTCCCCTGCAGAAGTGTCACGGACTACATTCGGAGGCTTTTTGCTTCGAGGCACTACTCCAAGGAAATCAGGCATCATGCGAAATCTGCTGCCGAACGTGGGTTGCCAGACGGGTTCATCTGTGACATCACAGACGGCAAGGCTTACATCGTCATGAAGGAATCTGAGCAAGGTGGACAGCCTCCCCTGCATGACACGGACATCCTCCTCGGTGTCTTCACTGATGGAGTCCAGGCATACAAGGACGATGCTAGTTACAGTCTGTACCCCGTCGCCATCACAGCATACAATTTCAGCCCAGACATAAGGTGGGGCACCGTCGTCAGTGGATCCCCCAGTAGGGCCATGCACATCCATCCAATTGCATTGCCAACCCTGTCTGCCCAACTTGGGTTCAGGTACACCCACGGCGTGACAACGGTCCTTGGCATCCTGCCAGGTTCCCGAAAGAAGGATGAGGGGGAGAGGCCGCGTGTTGGGTGCGTGTTGAAGCTCCTGTCCAGGGAGCTGGAAAGCCTGGCGGAGTGCGGGGTGGATACTTTCGATGCACACACGGAGTCCTACATCAATGTCAGGGTTAGACTTCTCACGGCCGGTGGGGATTACCGGGCCATCGAGGACATGCTGCGAATGTCAGGGGCACCACGAGTAAAACATGGCTGCTATAAGTGCTGGACAGCTGGCAGCAAGGGCGTCCACAAGTACAACTATCCCGGAGCATGGACGTGGCTGGACGGTGACGACCCGATTAGGCGGCCTGCCAGTGTGCTGAACCCCATCACAGATGCCACAGGACAGTCTTC